TATATATATATATATATATATATACCTAGTAGCCAGAACGCACTTCTCAGCCTACTATGCAAGGCCCGATTTGCCTAATAAGCCAAGTTTTCATGAATTAATTGTTTTTCGACTATAACCTATAACCTAACCTAACCTAACTTTTTCGGCTACCTAACCAAATAACCTAGAAAGATAGGTTAGGTTATAGGTAGGGTTGGTTATCATATATACGTTAATTTTAACTATAAAAAAAAATTGACCTCATACATAATGAAATGGGTAGCTTTATCATTTCATAAGAAAAAAATTAGAAAAAATATATTAATTCAGGAAAACTTGGCTTATTAGGCAAATCGGGCCTTGAATAGTAGGCCAAAAGTGAGTTCTGGCTACTAGGTACGATATATATATATATATATATATATATATATATATATATATAGTATATTTTGGTAGCAGTCTTTCCTGTAGACATATATTATTAAATATGACCGAAAAAGTAAGATTAATAATTCTAACACGAATTTTCTCTATCTTTCGTACATTTCTTTTCACTGTTGGTGGTAATTAAAAAATCAATTCTCCAAAATTCATTTTTATTTCTAGTCTGACGCGACACTTGAGCGCGTTTCGTAAAACTTATTACATTTTCAAAGACTTTAGTTTACACATACACAACTGAATAGAACTTACACATCTCCGATTTGTTTATATCTACATTTGAGTGAGGTGGATGGGGTGAGGTGGCATTAATAGGGTATTAATTTCATCAACACAAGACAGAACACGAAACAATGGGTATTGAATGGAAGTGATTGTAGAAAGCCTATTGGTCCATATTTCTTGATGCTTCTATATTGGAGCGGAGTCTTGAGGTGGGTAGAATATAGTTGTGCATTAATTGGCTGTTGATTGCTGGTGTTGACTTTTTAATGTGTAGTGCCTCGCAAACGTCAAGCCGCCTGCTATCGCTGTATCTATCGATGATTTCTGTGTTGTTTACTAGGATTTCTCTGGCGGTGGTTTGGTTGTGGGAAGAGATTATATGTTCCTTAATGGAGCCCTGTTGCTTATGCATCGTTAAACGCCTAGAAATTTTGGAGAATTTTGGAGAATTTGAATTTTGGAGAATTGATTTTTGAATTACCACCAACAGTGAAAAGAAATGTACGAAAGATAGAGAAAATTCGTGTTAGAATTATTAATCTTACTTTTTCGGTCATATTTAATATATATATATATATATATATATATATATATATATATATATATATATATATATATATATATATATATATATATATATATGTCGTACCTAATAGCCAGAACGCACTTCTCAGCCTACTATGCAAGGCCCGATTTGCCTAATAAGCCAAGTTTTCATGAATTGTTTTTCGGCTACCTAACCTACCTAACCTAACCTAACCTAACCTTTTCGGCTACCTAACCTAACCTAACCTATAGAGATAGGTTAGGTTAGGTAGAGTTGGTTAGGTTCGGTCATATATCTACGTTAATTTTAACTCCATTAAAAAAAGTTGACCTCATACATAATGAAATGGGTAGCTTTATCATTTCAAAAGAAAAAAATTACAGAAAAAATATTAATTCAGGAAAACTTGGCTTATTAGGCAAATCGGGCCTTGCATAGTAGGCCAAAAAGTGCGTTCTGGCTATTAGGTACGACATATATATATATATATATATATATATATATATATATATATATATATATATATATATATATATATATATAATATATATATATATATATATAAAGGGGTACCACCACTGGTTTAATTAAAGGGACCCACATCCTCGAAGAAGAAAATAAATAGTGTTCAGAGAAGACCTTGTGGATTCTCACTGAATACTTTAATCTTTTCCTCTCCTACCACCCCTATTATTTTTTTTTTTTTTTTATTTGATTTTATTGCAATGTTACAGTTTACAGAAAACACACACTTATATAACAATATACCAATCAGTGTTCGAAGACCTCGTCCAGTTCCTCGGGGGTCGGGTGCGTACCCAAGATACAACACGCATTTCCCCTCTGAACAGCGACACTGAGGCGCTGGAACATAAAACTGGCCGCTCTTGGGTCTCTAGTCTTCCCAATGAGTTCCTCGCCCAGCTCCTTCAGGAACTTAAGTGCACATTTACCCCCAGGCGCCCAGAGTCTCGGAGCCTATTGGCACGAACCTGTAACAACGTTCTAGGTCCCTGTACTTGTTAGTTTTCTGGGTCTCCCTGAAGGTGGCCGCCCTCCTCCCTCAGCTGCGCTGTAAGGTAGATAGGTATCAGCCAATGTGGATGCACACGTGTAGTCCCACACGACCTGTTTACCTTCTCTCCATGGCTGCAGGGTGACTCCATCTGGGCGTTTTAACACAAATATACACAAATATATATATATATAATATATATATATATATAATATACATATTAGTGCAAGATATTTAATATTCTGTACTCGATACTGGTGTGTATTGCTAGCCGCTAGTAAGGGCAAGCTATTGGGTATAGCTAGTTTTACTTTAATATACTAATTTACAGTATACTCGTTTTATTTCTCTTTATAAGATGGTAGATAATATTTCTTCAGTAGCATTTAATTTAATCGTAGTTGAAAGCTAGTAATATGTGCTAGTTTATGCTGTGTGCTAGTGTGGGTATAAACCATTCAGCTGTAATCCAGCTATAAACTAGTTGGATTTAGCTACTATGCCAGTTTATTCTAATTGATAAGACTTGGTGGTGCTAGTTACAAAATTGGTGCTGGCAACTAAAACCTACTAGCAACTAGTTTGTGCTGTTTGCTAGCAATTACAAGCCATGTGTTGGCCACTTTCAAATGACTAATTACAGTAATTGTTTGTGATGGTCATTTGTAAATATTGGTTTTAGTAATGGCAGAAGTGTGTAAGTCGCTAGATGATTCTGGCTATTAGTACAGTATCTATTTGTCACTAGTGTTAGTTGCTATTCTGTAGTTATTATTTGATCTGAATATTTGTCACTATAGTATTAGCCACTAGTATTGGCCCTACTTCAATATGCTAGTTACTGTTCATAACTACTTACAAATGTGCTAACAACTATTCACTACTAGTATCTAGTTGGCCAAAATTTGCATCTGATTGGTAGCATTTATAAAATAATTAATACCTGAATAGCACATAGAAATTCTTGTCAAATATTATTATGTACAGTATATCTATTTTGTCAAATGTTATACTGTATTATTTTAGTTGATAATGAACAATAATAATTTAGGAACTAGTGCCAGTTGCTATTCATTACTAACTGCTATTGTTCATGTTAGCTATTGATGAATGATGCTAAATGTTAGTATGAGCTGCTCATCGGTAGCAGGCACTAGTTGCGTATAGTCATCTAATCCTGCCAGCTGCCAGATGAAAGCAGGCTCACTACTGGTGCCAAATTGTGTGTAATTACTACTTTTTCTGTCCTGGAACATACCGGGAGAGAGTCTTGGGAGTTGTTGTTCTCCCCGAGTCCAGTCTGAGGCCAGGCTCGACTTTTGATAACTTGGTCCAACAGGCTGTTGCTTGGAGAAACATATCCACTACAGCCTGGTTGGTCTGGTACTTCTTGCAAGAACTTGTCCAAGTGCCTCTTGAATATGTTCACCTTTGTTACGGCAATATTTTTAATGCTTGCTGGGAGGGTGTTCAACAACCGTGGACTCCTGATATTCTTGATTATATATTTGAAAATTTCTAGTGGTGTGAACTCCAGAGCTTAATACATTCCTTGTCATTTAATTGTTGTGTCATTGAAAATATTGGCTTATGGTATTGATGTAGGTAAACATCAGAGGTCCACGGTTGTTCAACATTCCTCCCAGCGAGCATAAGAAATATTGCCGGAACAACCGTGGACATCTTCAAGAGAAAACTAGATGGTTTTCTCATAAGAGTGCCGGACCAACCGGGCTGTGGTGAGTATGTGGGCCTGCGGGCCGCTCCAATCAACAGCCTGGTGGACCAAGCTCTCACAAGTCGAGCGTGGCCTCGGGCAGGGCTTGGAGAGTAAAAGAACTCCCGGAACCCCATCAAGCAGGTATCAAGGTCATTTTTTCATATGCTGACAAAGCCGACACTTATTCTGAAGCGAAACAGTGCTGCTTGGGGTTAAGAATGTGGTAGCTGGTGGCTGGTTCTTGCAGGCAAATTTGGGCAAACATAAATGTAACATGAATCGACATTGATAACATTGATCTAAAGTTAACATTACTCGAATATATTTTGTGTTGTGTTACATATCTTCAACTTTTTTAATATTATATGAAGTGGTTTTTAATATTATAAGAAGTATTTGTGTTGTTTTTTTTTCAAGCAAACAACATTACAGAAAACTCATTTATGATTGAATTTCCTTTTTATTGATCTCAATTTTGTAGCTGTGTGATACAAATTTCAGTTGATCATACAATAGGATATAGATTTCATTTTGTCAGAAATAGTGATACTGTACTAAATATCTTGGTAAATGTTTTTGTAAAATAGTATCCCATACATCCCAAACTTGCTGAAATTCCCCAAGACAATTTCCTCTCATCGCAAATATTTGTAGTAGTAATTCGCTTGTTGGATGAATAGTTACTTATTAATGTAGTGCTGTTAAAAGGCGTCACAGACAAGTCATAGCTTGATGACCAAGTTGGCACGAGGGTAGACTGGCTTTAGCATGACAACTGCTGGTTTAATCTGGGCCTTTCATGCTCTGGCTCTATGAGCCACTACGCTTTATAGCAGGGACTGGCTTACAGTAACACATTAGCATAACAGTATTGAATATATTGACTTTTGAATCATTTGGCTGAGAGACTCCCTTGCCTTTGTGGAAGCTTTTGCGTGAATGCTAGGCTAAATGTCTGTGGTGTGTGTCGGAACTATACTTGAGATGAGCTATTTTCACATATTTTTTAATTTTGACTTTAGGTTCCATGTGTATTGACCCTGCTATTTGTGCTGTATTTTTTCATGCAGGCCGTGGATACAGTCGTAGGAGAGGTATTTTAAAGCATGGTTAATGAAAATGATCTGATTTTTTTTTTTAATTACATCTCTTGGTCACGAAGCCTTTCTGTAGCAGAGTCTGGCACTTGAGACTAGCTCTTTGTGGTAACCATAAGCTGTATTGCACATTCTTGCACAAGTTTACTGACTGAAATTTTCACCCAACAGTTTACAATACTGTATATTGAGCACCCATGCAATTGTGCATTCTATCTCTACACCAATTACAGCTTTGTTACCACTGAGACTGACCAATAGATATACCATTCTTATTATTTTTCTGCTATGTCTGTTGTTGCACTATAAGCTATTTTATTATCTTAAACTTAAGAAATGACCCCAAGAAAAGACAGTAGACTGAGGAATGAGGGCTGCTTTAGAAGTCTTGAAATGATGTAGCTTAGGTGTCACCATGTCCATATTACTAGCACGATGACCCAATGTTGCACCTACGACCACACGCGCCCTCTCTCTCATTGTTTCTAACCTACACATCTTTAAATTTTGATGTATTTTAAAAGAGATTTTTTCACGTTGTAAGTGTTCATACGAGTCACAAGTCATTTGAGTTTTTGTGAGTTACTTGAGGCCAAATTCCAGTGCTTTGAAGCTTCCTTGTTGGTAGCGATTAATTACTGATATGTTCGTTAATTTATAATAGCTATTATTTGACGTTTATTTGCCTTCTTTGTTTTGTGTGACACTTTAGGATTCTTGTTTTAATAATCTGGAATGGGGCCTGATATAACTTGAGGAGTCAATAGGGAATGTTGCTGTTTTGTCAACGCATGTTATGCTCGGTGGCCTCTGGCAACGCTCCCTCATCACAATTAGGCTTTGTTACCAATGAATAATGTTTTGTTGCCAAGGAAAGTCTATTTGACCTTTGTTTGACATCAATTTTGTATATTCTCTTGCATGAAGTTTGACGTTACCTTGAAGAATCATGATGATTGTTTGTGTTGGATTTATATATAAGGTAATTTATAATATAATACTGTAATTAATTTAAATTAAATTGGCATTGACTTAAAATCAGTGTACAATATGATGATATATTCACAAAATATATAAAATAATAATAATTATTATGAATATTATGCAGAGTATCCAAATACATGACCATAATTCACCATTTAACAGTAAAAGACTAAGTAAGCGTATCCTTGGCTCAGTTTTATCAATAAAATAAATAAAATAAAAATAAAGGTGAGTACCGTAAAATAAAGTCACATTAATAAATAGAATGTAGGTTCTTGTAACCATTAATAATAGCAAAATTTTCTTTCATAATTTTTTTCAAATTTTTGAAAATTTGAAATTAAATTTGAAAATTAAAGAATAATTTTTCAAAATTTTCCACCTGGAGACCTACATTTGAGTGCAACATATACAGGACCCTTTAGTGCAACATATACAGGACCCTTTAGTGTAACATATACAGGACCCTTTAACTGTCTGTGCTCATTCAAAGGTTTTCCAATTATAGCCCATATTTTGGCCACAAAACCACATGTGTTTATTGGGCATAACTTGCTAAGGGTATAGAATGCTATAAGTGACATGGTTATTAATGACTTTGAATCTATAAATATAAGTAGGCACTCTTGAGGATCCAAACACCTAGTCATTTTGGTCAAGTCCAGGTACTGTATATATATGTAATATAAATCCCCCCATGTGTGTGTGCTAACAGTGAATGAAGTTTAGGAGTGACGTATTGCTAAATTTCATATCGGTTGATTGCACTGTATTGATGTGCATTGATGCACATGCACTACTAGGTGAGTACAATTAGGTGAGCACTACTGTAAACTAATGTATTCACCTAATTGTGCTTGCAGACGTTGAGCTTTTGGGTCTTTGGTTCCACCCCTCAACTGTATATAAAATAAGGTGTATAAGTCTGTATGTAAGCTCAACCCTTAAATTGCTAAACTATTTGAAAGTCCTACATCCAGGTGCACATGGGAAAAATGTATTGGAACTCCATAAGGATCAATCACGAGGCGATTGTAGCACACAGGAGGAAATTGGAGATGGTGGGTGGAGCAGCACGAGGGTTAGAGAGAAATAAGATCCGTGAAGGGGGGATGGTTTTATTCTACTGTACTCTCTTATGTACTCGCTGGTACATAAACTGGACCGAGGAGAGGCGTTGTAAGCTTCAGTCAAGGACATGAGGGACATGGAAGCTTGAGCCGAGGACACGAGGGACATGGAAGCTTGAGCCGAGGACACGAGGGACATGGAAGCTTGAGCCGAGACCGAGGGACATGGACTTGACGAGGGACATGGAAGCTTGAGCCGAAGACACGAGGGACATGGAAGCTTGAGCCGAGGACACGAGGGACATGGAAGCTTGAGCCAAGGACACGAGGGACATGGAAGCTTGAGCCGAAGACACAAGGGACATGGAAGCTTGAGCCGAGGACACGAGGGACATGGAAGCTTGAGCCGAGGACACGAGAGACATGGAAGCTCGAGTCTGAAACAGGAGGGGTTAGAAGACTGAGCCTGGAAGAAGAGAGGGGGCTAGAAGCTTGACCCAGGGACAGGATTGGCTAGAAGCTTGGTTATTCGATCACATCCTGACCTTGACTTTACCTAACCATCCTGATGAGGAAGGTGGGGCACCATGTGAATGGAAAAAGTAGCAGCAAGACTGTGACTTGATTAATATACACGGTACAGTTTTTGTGTTTGTATAGTCGTGCAGTAGATTGTCAAAGTTCTTGAATGGGTACCCCCCCTTTTCCTCTCTCTCTACCGTGTGTGTGTGTGTTGGGGTAGGTCGTTAATATTGGGCACCTCCTTTACACATAGTTATAGTTGCATGTGCTGCCAGTTATATACCTCTGAATAATCTTAAATGTAAAAAGCCAACATAACAACAACTATGAAATACCATTTTTGTTTTCAGAATATTTCAACTATGACCCATGTACAGTTTCTTCTAGGGTTTCACTGCTATGCAAATAACTTCTTTCAAGATGAATGATTCCCTTGTAATACACACACACATGGCTATGGGGAAGGCCTTTGTCATTAGCATTTGTGTGTAGCATTTAAGGAGACAGTAGGCCTTAACAAAATTCTGTATACTAAAACACAGAAAGTTGGCTAAATAACCTGACGGATGCAGGAAGAGATTTTTAGTAATGAGTGTTTGATAATTATAGGAGAGCACTGTAATTTCTTTCATTCAAAATGTAATGAGAAAATTGTCTATAGATCTGTGTATCTTTTCTGGGATACAGTGTTGCCTCTAGGAGTTTGTACTCTTTGGCAGGTGTGTGTTTTTGTGTTCACAAACCTTTCAATCACTTTCTAATGTAAAAACTGCAGCATTTTAAACTTTTGTTGGACAAAAATATGAAATTAAATATTAAACAGATTAGATGGAAGTAAGAAAATGACTTAAAAATTTTATGAATTGAAAGATGTACACAATGTATGTGAAGGATGGACAATTTACAGATCTCCAAGTTGTGGTGGGATTATGAGTGGAGATGAATAGAATCCTTAGTGGGTTGGTGTACATTGTTGACGCCACATGCAGTCATACTGTCATGGGGCAACAGTGGCAACCTGGTCTACCACCACACTATTACATTGAGCAAGTACTGTAGAAATGCATTATTCCCACCGTCAGGAACAGGAACCACAAGTCAGGCCTAGTCCTGGGCTGGGCTTCGGAAGAAGGAAAAACTCCCAGAACCCCATCGAGGTTCAGCCCTTTACTTGGGCTTATCGAAGGCCTCCTTACGTCAACTACTGACCTTGCCCAGGATGTGACCCACAACAGTTGCCTAACTCCCTGGTACTTATTTACTGCTGATAAACAGAGGTACCGAGTGAAAGGAAACGTGACGGATTGTTTCTCTCCGACCCAGGGATTGAACCCAGGCCCTTCAGTTGTGAGTCTGACATTAACATTGCTATTTCACAAAATGTGATGCTCATCACCTCTGAAAATAAGAATTTTTATCCAAATACCTCTGCCTTATCCCCGAAGATACCATAAAGGGGTGAAGTACTCAGAACTCTTCCTATTTTCATTGATTGTGAAATTCTATAACATGGATTGAAGCATTTGAGGAAGAGTTAAGATGTAACAAGAAACTATTTACTATGGAGAATTATTTAATTGAAATTCAGTAGCTAATCACTTTTAAGCTCATATAGTCTATGAAAGTGGTTATGTAATTGGGTGCATATTTAGTAACTGAGCAGAAGCACGAGATTTAAAATTAAAAAAAGGGGATTGTTAAGGTAAATATGAGCAGCTCGGTAGACAGAATAACATAGCAAATGAAGCTGGTAAGTGTACCTAGGAAGACGTAGAGAGGATGCCTCTTGTCCATTGACGAGTGTTGCAGTATGATGCAGTCTCACCGTGGCACAACATGACAGTCTGGTCCACTACCTCTACCTCCACACTCTACTTTCACTGCTGCTCAGTGTTTTCCAATTTGTTGCCCCCCTATTCTTCTTTCTTATATGCTTCTCGGTCTTTTTCCTGTGTCTTTATACTGTCTGCAGAGAATGATTGTGGCTGAAACAAATAATGGAATGCACACGCATTAAATAAGTGACTGTTTCAGTCGAACCGGAATGGATTAAATGTCATTTTCATTTTATTTCATATGTGTGGGCTAGGTTTTTTCTACTGTGTCTTGTATGTTCTTGATGAGGGTAATCATTATTTTATTTATTTATGTATTCTTGTTTCTCAGCACAAATAAGTAGCAAGTGCATTAATTGCATAGCAGACTAACAAGCAGGCAGAATTCTGTGACATAGTTTTGAATTATTCTTTAAAGCCTTGAAACACTAAAAGGGCATTTTAAATGTCTAAAGATGTGACATTGTCACATCTATATTTATAAAAGAGGTTGTATGTCTGTCCACGAGTGGAAACCAGATGGTTGGGGCCAACCTCAATAACTGTGCAGGATGAAAGGGGATTGTATGTAGAGTGTCAAAGAGGTAGGGGGGGGGGGGAAATTGGTGTTGGCCCACGTGCCATCCTTAGGTATAAAGGGTCTATACCTTCCTTCACGAAGTTGATGGATATGAAATGTGCCACCCAGAATCTGTAGAATTTAGGATTTGTTTAAATATTAAGGAATTTAGATACAGTGCTGATTTTTGAAACGTGTTTAATGACAGATTTGCATTCTGGGTGCAATTGTTTGGTTACACTGATGGGGAGACAGGAAGGGTGGAAGGGTGGAGATTACATTATGTGTGTAATTACCTAAGTAGTTACCTAAGTGTAGTTACAAGATGAGAGCTATGCTAATGGTGTCCTGTCTTCCCAGTACTCTTTGTCAAATAATGCTTTCAAACTACTGATGGTTTTGGCTTCCACCACCTTCTCACTTAACTTGTTCCAACCGTCCACCACCCTGTTTGCAACAGAAAGCTTTCTAACATTTTTTTGGCTCCTTTGTTTCCTTAGCTTGAATCTATGACCTCTTGTTCTTGAGGTTGCTGTTTCAGGAATTTCTCTTTGTCAATTTGGTCGATTCCTATTGTTATTTCGACATGTGAGTGTGTACTCACCTGGTTGTGCTTGCAGGGGTTGAGCTTCGGCTCTTGGGTCCCATCTCTCAACTGTCAATCAACTGGTGTGCAGATTCCTGAGAATCTATACGCATGTATGCATGGACAGTGCGCGTGCATGCATGGACAGGTGGAGATGGAGAAAGCGTACGTGTGCAGGGAGGATGGAGATGGAATCTGTGTGTGAGTGATGGGAGGAGCTGGGGGATGGGGGGGGGCTTCATTAGAAGTGTGTTGACCAAACCACACACTAGAAAGTGAAAAGACAACGTTTTATTCCATCCTGGACCAATATCAAGTCGATTGTGATGAGATGAGGGAAGCACGGGTATTAAGTAAGGCAAGAGAGAGGTGAGACGGAAATCTTAGAGGAAGAACCAATGCAAAAGATACAGAGGTAAGGTGTAATATAGGGTGTAATAATAGGAGTAAGTATGGGAACATAAGAGAAACAAGAGAAATACAAATAAAAAGAAAAAAGAAAAGAAAAAATGATGGGTAGGCTTACGTTAGGTCACGTTTATTAGAAAGTTTAGAACATTTGAGTATGTACTGTGAAAGGGAAGAGTTGACAGCAACAAAGCCAGGACTCCGGTTCATGTTGGGTAGGTTGTGTATCAGAGCTGAGTCAACAAGATGGCATCTGTGAAGAGTAGAGGCAAGAAAGATTATCTTGGAAGAAGACCAATCAATAGGATGACTAGAATCCCTAACATGACAGAGGAGAGCATTGTTATGCTCTCTTCTGTCATGTTAGGGATTCAAGAGAGCATTGTTATGCTCTCTTCTGTCATGTTAGGGATTCTAGTTAGTCATCCTATTGATTGATCTTAATCTAAAATAATCTTTCTTGCCTCTACTCTTTAGACACCATTTTGTTGACTCAGTTCTGATACACAACCTACCCAACATGAACCCGAGTCCTGGCTTTGTTGCCGTTGACTCTTCCCTTTCACAGTACATACTCAAATGTTCTAAACTTTCTAATAAATGTGACCTAACATAAGCCTACCCATCATTTTTTCTTTCTTTTTTCTTTTTCGTTTTCTTTTTCTTTCTCTTACGTTCCCATTCTTACTCCTATTATTACACCCTATATTACACCTTACCTCCATACCCTTTGCCTTAGTTCTTCCTCTAAGATTTCTGTCTTGCCTTTCTCTTGCCTTACTTAATGCACCGTGCCTCCCTCGTCTCATCACAATCGACTTGATAGTGGTCCAGGACGAGCCGAAATGTCGTCTCTAAAATTTCTAGTGTGTAGTTTGGTCATCATTTTTCAGCCACGTTATTGTGACTTTTATCTGTATTAGGAGAGTGTTGGGGTGGACATGGGGAGGGTGTGTGGGGGAAGGGGTTGTGATGGAATGGTGTGAAGATGTTATAGTAATGTGAGACATTTTATACTGAAGATAGTTACAGCAATGGGTGGAGAGGGAGGGTTTGTGAAGTGTTATTGGGGGTAAGCATCAGATGAAATAGTGTGTGTATGGGGAGATGGTTAGCGTGTGTGTGTGGGGGGCAAACATGGCCACTGCCCGTCCTGGCAAGTCGAGCCTGACCTCAGACCGGGCTCGGGAAGTAGAAGAACTCGTGAAACCCTCTCCAGGTGTGCTCCAGGTATACTGCCGGGTACCCCATCATGTTTTTAAATATTTATTTCTCCAGCACTGATAGTGTTTAATCCTGTCTTCACAGATTAGTTTCTCTTCTTCATAGGCTGGTCTAGTTGCAGACATTTGGGCTTTGTTGAGCACTTGAGAAGGTGAGGGGTGTTCCACTTTATTTCAGTAATGCAAGATGTGTATGTGTTACATGCAGGAAGCCGCCACCAATGTGTGTGTAAGTGAGTAGCGCTCGACTGGATATGGGTCTCAAAATAAATTAGGTTTCATATACAGTACTGTACTTTCCATATGTGTAATTTATATAAATATACAGTACTATATATACTAATACTGTACTAAAATTTGATACTAACATTATTTTTATTTTATTATTTTGTTTGTTATAATAAAATAATAAGTAAAAATATTATAATTTTAGTATAAAATGAATGAAGTAAAATAGTAGTATGATAAAGTGACTAGGAGCAGTATATATTATTTATATATTTACAGTATATATTTACAGTACTGTATATATTTACAGTACTGTAATTAATATGTATATATGTGTGTGTGTGCCTCAAATGTCACACATCTTTTATCCAGAAACTAGACAGTACTTCAGATCTTCAATTCCTTGACTTTGAAAAACTATATTGCAATACTGTATTAGATAACTTGCACAAGTCGCAAATTCATTTATGTACTCGGTTCTTCTTACAAGACTGTAAGAACTCTCGTATATATATAAATAAAAAGTAAACAGAATATACGGCATAATCATTGATCATCAATATATGTGTGATGATATCATGTTATTCAGGTTGATATCGTAGATGTGAAGTGATAGTAGTTTGTACTACCATTATGATGACGAAACCTATTACCTGTAGATGCACCATTTTATATGTTAAAGTTTTTTTTTCCAATTTTTAGAGAAAAATGGTGTTAGTATGTACTTAAAGAATAATGCTTCATTGACATGCAGACCAGATGTTAGGGTATGTGCCTATGTAGTACACAGTTGTACGAGACAATTGTTTTATATTTTTAAACATGTCTATCTATTACCGAGACATTTTTGTGTAACGCCCACTTTTTTTTCATTTTCTTTTTCACAAAGTCTTCCTTATTTGGTTAAGATCTGTGTTGAGCAGTTGGCTTTTTGACTCTATATCAACCCAGGTCTCCTGTCAAGACTGTACACATGATAACGGTAGGGTAGATGCACAATGAAATCACACAAATGTAATGAATCTACGAAAGAATAATATATGCCCGAGGAGCTCAGGATTGTGGGTTAGATTCTGTTGTATGGCCTCGATATCTATTCAATTTTTGTACGTGTAAAAAAAATAGACTATTTGCATATCAAATAGTCCATAATTTGTCCACTTGAACGAATTTTGCTTCCCTTTTTTGTCCATATATTTTGCCATTAAGAAATATTGTGAATTATGTGTAAAAGTTCGCATCATGTGTACACAGTATACCCCTGTTGTCAGTATGCACTGCCTTAACAGGAGCAAGAGTTACAATATACAGTATACTGTACTATGGTAAATTATTACAAATGCTTTAAATGACATGCATTAGGCTTTGTAAGCTTGAAGCAATTTCTTCCTTTGTTGCCATTGAGACATTGCAGCACAGTGGGTGCTGATAATGTTATGCTTCTTAAGATGAAGCTTCTAAATACCTGCACAATGTATTTGTTTTGTATGCAGTGCTTACGTAGAAGTTTTAACATATATATGTACTCATTGTTTTGAATAAAACAAGGAATCAGGGCTATTTTGTATTATACAATGCTTCTAAATTTTAAATGATTTAACGGAGACAATAGTGAGGATTACAGTACACTGGGTACAGTTTGTTATTACAGATAATGTTGTATTGCTGTACATGTATTAATATCTTGTTAGCAGTGACCTACACTAATGCATTTTGGCAGGTAAAGGTGGTTTCCTGGGAATGGATGAAACTGGTGTATTACTTGACGAGGGTCATCTAGTAGATAATCTAGGTGCGCCTATTCCCCTTCCTTCACCCTCCCGGTCCTCGCCACGCTCTCAAGGTTCCGAAAACGGAGAACGCTTCTCTCGTAAAGTTTTTGTTGGTGGACTCCCGCCCGATATAGACGAAGGTTAGTACTCTGTCTTTATTTATACTCTTATCATAATGTACTGCTGTATTAGTTTTCTTTGATTATAAAAGGGAAGTATCTTGTATCATTACATCTCCTGTAATGATGCAATGATTGTGTGTCATTAGTGTAGTGCTGCAGTCTCTGAAAAGTCCCTCAGAAGAAAAAGAGGTACCATACCTCTTGCCTACCAGAGCCCGGACCAGAATCTGGCTCTCTCTATGAAATGAGGAAAGCTGAAGCATCAGAGATCAACCCAAAATTTAGGAAGATCTCACCAGAAGTATAAGTGTAACAAGACAAGTGGCTACTTGAGGAAAGTTAGGTCCCCCAATAGTAGCAAGACAAACGATCATTGTAGCTATGTAAACACTCCAACTGTATTGCGTCGGATTTGCTACCATGTGCGCCTGACAAAGGGCGCTTGACCACTGGGTGGACAGCGCTTCGGATTCGTAGTCATGAGGTTCCGGGTTCGATCCCCGGTGGAGGTGGAGACAAATGGGCAAAATGTCTCTCTCACCCTGATGCCCCTGTTACCTAGCAGTAAATAGGTACCTGGGAGTTAGACAGCTACTACGGGCTGCTTCCTGGGGGTTGTGTAACAAAAAGGAGGCCTGGTCGAGGACCGGGCCGCGGGGACGCTAAGCCCCGAAATTATCTGAAGATAACCTCAAGATGTGGCTGCCCAGGTTACCGAATATTTTGTTACTTCGATAGGGTTATGAGGATCAATGTTCCATGTCATTTTTCATGCGGCTGTGACAATTACTTTATTGTGTTCATTAAAAATTAGGTACAGTATTTTGAAGTGATTACACCCAGGTCTTTTACATTGCTTTTTCTTTATATATACTGTATATGTATACAGTACTTGGTTACCCAGCGTTGCCCGGGTCTGTTTGTCAACCCCAACCAGCCTATGTTCATCCCGTATCCCAGACCATTACCCTCTGCCAATTTGGGTACTCACCTAGTTGTACTCACCTAATTGTGCTTGCAGGGGTTGAGCTTTGGCTCTTTGGTCCCGCCTCTCAACTGTCAATCAACTGGTGTACAGATTCCTGATCCTACTGGGCTCTTATCATATCTACATTTGAAACTGTGTATGGAGTCTGCCTCCACTACATCACTGCCTAATGCATTCCATCTGTTAACTACTCTGACACTGAAAAAGTTGTTTTTAACAATCCTGTGGCTCATTTGGGTACTCAGTCTCCACCTGTGCCCTCTTGTGAGGCTAGATCCAAGTGTGTGGCCTCCATCTTCATCAGGCAAGACTTTTTACAGACCCTTTTGTAAAGTGACACAATCTCCACTGTTGTAAGTGTGTAAGGGGATAACATGGTGTTTATTACCATAGCAGTTTCTCCAGCTTTTGCTCCTTTTGTCCAGCATTGCACTCACTCATTGCAAAGAAATGCGTCGACATAGGGTTCTTGTGCCAGCTCATTCTCAGTTTACCCTTTTACTTCACTGTGGGGAGATTTCTAGTGTCTGCCCCATTTTCACTCTCTACTTCCCATGATGCATGGACTTTCTGGGTAGTAATCTAGGGCCTACAGTGGGGTGGTCCTCGAGTATCTCTATTCAACCCATCCTCTTATAAATAACGTTGCTTTTCGCTCATATGTGCTATGGCCAAAAATTGCCATACTGGAAAATGGAAATTTATTTTCCAAATAAGATGGAATCAAAACAGCAAGTTTTGGGTCCTCTGGTAGGTTAGGAGAGCAGCAAGTTCTCTGTAGGTTTCAAAATATCATGAAAACTGTTAAAGTGTCCTTCCTAACCTAACAGACTAAGCCAGAAGACCCAAAACAGAAAACGAGACAGTACGTCACTTTTGCGCGCCGCTGCCATTTTCTAGTACAGCAATTTTTAGCCTTGGTGCGCATACGAGCAAAAAGCGACGTTATTTGTAAGATTGTCTGGTTGCTCTACTGCCAGACATGCTTGGAGTTCAGGCAGCACCATCCAGTATCACAATCCAAGTTTTGCAAGATATCCACCTACACTTGGGTGTTAGTAGTGATGTTCGTCATCTCTTGCTTATGTCAATGCGCAATAAAATCACAAGAACATATCCAAGAGAAAATATTTAGGGATTCGATGTGATTGAACCCGCATCCCTGGACTTCCCAGGCACACTGGCCCATAATGAGCTTAAAATTATCACGACTAGAAATTCTGAGACTTGGCGTTTGAAAGGCACTGTCCTGTACCACCTTGAGGTTACCTTGAGGTGCTTCCGGGGCTTAGCGTCCCCGCGGCCTGGTCCTCGACCAGGCCTCCTGGTTGCCGGACTGATCAACCAGGCTGTTGGATGAGGCTGCTCGCAGCCTGACTTATGAGTCACAGCCTGGTTGATCAGGTAACCACAATCACACACAATCCAAGACTTACAAGAAATTTGTAATTGGACATTTTGCCATCAGACCTGTGTAACAAGCAACACACTCCCTCGCTTATTAATGTGATGTTATTTATTGCTCCTGTCTTTACAAAACTGTATTTGTGGTATTTTTATGTTTTTAATCTTGTGAACAGGTTGATTAACTGGAGTATACATGAAGTAAGGTCTGGGAGTTCTTTTACTTCCCAAGCTCAGCCTGGGTTTGGGGGGAGTAAATTTGTGACAAATTGGTCCAATAAGCTCTGGCTTGGAGCGATCTACTAGCTCGCATATCCACTGCAACCTGGTTGGTCTGTCCGGCACTTCTTGCAGGAACTCGTCTAATTGTTTCTTGAAGGGGTTCACCTTGGTTTTGGCAAAATTTCTTATGGTTGCTGGGAGAGTCTTGAATACCCATGGACCTCTGATGTTCAGACAATGTTCTCTGATTGTGCCAATCCCATCTTTACTCCTCATTAGTTCTACTCTGAATTTCCTTCCATATCATTCGCTCTAGTAGGTTGTTATTTTACTATGCAACTTTGGGATCTGGCCCCTCTAGAATCTTCAATGTATATATTATAGTATTTGATACTTGCTCTTCTCCTTTCTAGAGAGTACTGTAATTAACAAAGAGAGATGAAATACTTGAATGAGTGAAGAACTGCAGGCTGCCACCGTCTCAGCCGGCCACCAATGCCACTCTCCTCGTGCAGTACTATAACTTCTTAACCATTTGACTGCACATCAGAACCAAGGAAGTGATCACCACTGTTCCTTAAACTGCACATCACAATAAGGGATGTATTAAAGTACTGCATAAGCTTTAAATCTTCCATGGGTACATGGGCCTCGCATCAGCTTCCTCAGGCCTCCAGTGAACAGATGCAATCGTGGGAAAAAAATAAATCTTGGGTAACCCTTGTGGTTGAGGGGCACGAGTACTAACATAGCAACCATGAGTAGTGCAGTATATACCCTGCTCACGGCACTGCCTTCACCTCGTAGCCACAGCACCACTTAATGATGATGAAATAAATAACTAATTATCTATCGATGATAATAGCATAGAAAACCCTGGCAGTGATAAAGACTATGTATGAAGTTCAGATATTGGTGAACCTGATGCAGGTGATGATGTATACAGCATGGGGCACACAACCTCAGTTTGGTGCATCTATGCATCATACAATGGGACTTCCTGCTCCTTGAAATGAAAATGAATGTGTGAAAAAATATTTATATTCAGGATTTAGTGACAAAGACCCTGATAATAATAGCCGTGTTTTGGCTAAAATTAGTGATGTGCATAGTTAGTATATCAGGTGGCACTTTGCTTAATCAGGTGCTGTCAGCAATTGACGAGTGTGTTTGTATTCACCTAGTTGTGCTTGCGGGGGGTTGAGCTCTGCTCTTTCGACCTGTCTCTCAACTGTCAATCAACTGTATCTAATTACCTAAGTGTAATTACCTAAGTGTAGTTACAGGATGAGAGCTACGCTCGTAGTGTCCCGTCTTCCCAGCACTCTTTGTCATATAACGCTTGTTATATGACTATATATCTGATTGTGTGTGTGTGTGTGTGTGTGTGTGTGTGTGTGTGTGTGTGTGTATGTGTATGTGTATGTGTGTGTGTGTGTGTGTGTGTGTGTGTGTGTGTGTGTGTGTGTGTGTAATTACCTGTGTAATTACCTAAGTGTGTTACAGGTGTCCCAGCACTCTTTGTCATATAACGCTTTGTGTCTTGGCCTCCACCACCTTCTGTGTGTGTGTGTGTGTGTGTGTGTGTGTGTGTGTGTGTGTGTGTGTGTGTGTGTGTGTACTCACTTAGTTGTACTCACCTAGTTATGCTTGTGGGGGTTGAGCTCTGGCTCTTTGGTCCCGCCTCTCAACCGTCAATCAACAGGTGTACAGGTTCCTGAGCCTATTGGGCTCTATCATATCTACACTTGAAACTGTGTGTATGGAGTCAGCCACCACCACATCGCGTCCTAATGCATTCCATTTGTCAACCACTCTGACACTAAAAAAGTTCTTTCTAATATCTCTGTGGCTCATTTGGGCACTCAGTTTCCACCTGTGTCCCCTAGTGCCTGTGCCCCTTGTGTTAAACAGTCTGTCTTTATCAACCCTGTCGATTCCCTTGAGAATCTTGAATGTGGTGATCATGTCCCCCCTAACTCTTCTGTCTTCCAACGAAGTGAGGTTTAATTCCCGTAGTCTCTCCTCGTAGCTCATACCTCTCAGCTCGGGTACTAGTCTGGTGGCAAACCTTTGAACCTTTTCCAGTTTAGTCTTATGCTTGACTAGATATGGACTCCATACTGGAGCCGCATACTCCAGGATTGGTCTGACATATCTGGTATATAATGTGTAGTATATATGTGTGTGTGCTCACCTAATTGCTCACCTACGGCCCACGAGGCGGGCCAAAAGAGCAAAGCTCAACCCCCGTAAAAACACAACTAGTAAACACCTAGTTGTGTTTGCAGGGGTTGAGCTCTGGCTTTTTGGTCCCGCCTCTCAACTGCCGATCAACTCCTGAGCCTACCGGGCTCTTATCATATCAACATTTAAAACTGTGTATGGAGTCAGCCTCCACCACATCTCTGCCTAATGCATTCCACCTGTTAACTACTCTGACACTGAAAAAGTTCTTTCTAACGTCCCTGTGGCTCATTTGAGTGCTCAGTTTCCACCTGTGTCCCCTTGTTCACGTACCGCCAGTGTTGAATAGTTTATCCTTGTCTACCCTGTCAATTCCCCTGAGGATTTTGTAGGTAGTGATCATGTCTCCCCTCACTCTTCTGTCTTCCAGTGTCGTAAGGTGCATTTCCCGCAGCCTTTCCTCGTAACTCATGCTTCTTAGTTCTGGGACTAGTCTAGTGGCATACCTCTGAACTTTTTCCAGCTTCGTCTTGTGCTTGACAAGGTACGGGCTCTATGCTGGGGCCTCATACTCCAGGATTGGTCTTATGTATGTGGTGTGTGTGTGTGTGTGTGTGTGGACATACTGTACTTGGATCAGTGGTTACATGATTATAAGACAGGCCAGAACTACCTAGTGCTTCACAGCAGTGTACAAACATGTAGATAGTGATATATAATATGTGAATACAGTGTGATAATAGCAAAAACTGTATGTTTATTGTTCTTATTTTGTGGTGCACATATTAGTTAAACAAATGTATCTGTGTAAGCAAATACTGCGTCACATAACAAGCAAATATTGCGTCAGCCAGAAAAATGAAAGGAAGGATTACAAGAACTTTCAAATTCAGGGATCCCATCAAAATGGTTATACTCTTCAAATCACTTGTGCTGTCCTGTCTTGAGTACTGCTCGGTACTCGCTTCCCCCTTCAGAGCAGGAGAGATTGCTGAAATAGAGAGAGAGTACAGAGAACACATATGGCATACATAGATGCGATAAAGCACCTAAATTGTCGGGATCGTCTCAAAGCTCTCCAAATGTACTCACTAGAAAGGAGACGAGAGAGATATCAAATAATATACAAATGGAAAATACTGGAGGGCTAGGTCCCAAATCTACACAGTAAAATAACAATTTACTGGAGTGAATGATATGGAAGAAAATGCAGAATAGAACCATTGAAGAGCAGGGGTGCCATAAGCACAATCAGAGAACACTATAAACATCAGAGGTCCACAGTTGTTCAACATATTGTACTCCCAGCGAGTATAAGAAATATTGCTGGAACAATCGTAGAAATTGTCAAGAGAAAACTAGATACTGTAGTTTTCTCCACGGAGTGCCAGACCAAAGGAGCTGTGGTGGATATGGGGGCCTGCGGGCCGCTCCAAGCAACATCCTGGTGGATCAATCTCTCACAAGTCAAGCATGGCCTTGGGCCGGGCTTGGGGAGCAGAAAAACTCCCAGAACTCCATCAAGCATGGGTTAATGGCATGCTATAGTTCTAAAAAAGCAAAAAACTATGTGCTATAACTATATGTACAGGTACATGTAAAATTTACATGATTTTATTCTCTTTTTCAATCGTTATTTTATCTCTCCAATTTTCCAAGTTAAATAGGATTGAATAGCACTTATTTGGTGAGAGAGAGAGAGATGTAAACAAAATCTAGCTATCAGCGGTGTATGAGGGAGTCATTCCCTGCCTACAAACACCAGCCAGCTCCCTTAATGGCTCCCCACCAATATCTCCAAAATTGAATATATACAACATATCCCATGTTTCTTATTAATTCTAGAGGTTAATAAACTTTTTTGTTTGCCATCTTTCACATTATTTACTATAAGAATGCTTGGGTAGATTTATTTAGTGCCAGATCTGAGGTAAACATTATGTTGTGGTGTATGAATCAACACACAAAAGTTTCAATGCTCTTGTTACTAGAGTATTGGGACTACTGTTGTATAATCCAATTTTCTTTGTAATTTTTTGTTGATTTTTACATGAATTTACAAAATATAAAATGTTTGGTTTCTTCTTTCAGAGGAAATAACTGCAAGTTTTCGACGATTTGGTCCTTTAGTCGTGGATTGGCCACATAAGGCAGAAAGTAAATCCTATTTCCCTCCTAAGGGGTATGCGTTCCTTCTTTTCCAGGTATGTTATATTTTCCTATTGTGTATAATAATGTTTAATGTTTACCAATATATTCACACATACTCGGTTATATTCACATGTGCATTCATCAATGAGTAAAAGGCTTGTTGGTACACGTGAACCAGCTCCAGCTCCTACACTCATGGAGAATGACTTCATCATATTTGTTTAGTATTAGCTCTGCAGATTACCATATTTTGTGGCAAGTAAAACACGCCTGTTTTACAGTGGTATCTTGTGGATTGATAAATTTTAGTATGTTTCGTCATTCGTAAATACAGAAGAAGTACGGAGAACATATACGGCAGGCATCTATCTTGAGGTTATCTTGAGATGATTTCGGGGCTTTAGTGTCCCCGCAGCCTGGTCCTCGACCAGGCCTCCACCTCCAGGAAGCAGCCCGTGACAGCTGACTAACACCCAGGTACCTATTTTACTGCTAGGTAACAGGGGCATAGGGTGAAAGAAACTCTGCCCATTGTTTCTCGCCGGCGCCCGGGATCGAACCCGGGACCACAGGATCACAAGTGCAGCGTGCTGTCCGCTCAGCCGACCGGCTCCCCATAGACACGATAAAGCACCTAAACTATTGGTGATCGTCTCAATGTTTTCAAAATGTACTCTCTAGAAAAGAGACAAGAAAGGTACCAAATTATATATACAGTGCATCCATACATAGAAAATACTGCAGGGCCAGGTCCCTAATTTACACAGAAAATTACAACATACTTTATTTATTTTTTATTTTATTTATTTATTTATTTATATACAAGAAGGTACATTGGGTTTATTAGAGTACGGAGCATTGAAATTTTACATTTTAGTAAAACGACTAGCACGCATAGCGCTTCAGACAGACTAGATTGAATGATACGGAAGGCAATGCAGAATAAAGCCAGAGAAGAGTAGGGGGTGCCATAGGCACATCAGAGAATGGTGTCTGAACATCAGAGGTCCATGGTTGCTCAGTATCCTCCCAGCAAGTATAAGAAATATTGCCAGAACAAAATCAGAAGTCTTCAAGAAAAAACTGGATTGTTTTCTGCAAGAAGTGCTGGACCAACTGGGCTGTAGTGGGTATGTGGGCCTGTGGGCAAGCAACAGCCTGTTGCACCAAGATCTCACAAGTTAAGCCTGGCCTTGGGCCTGGCTTGGGGAGAAGAACAACTCCAAGAACCCCATCCAGGTACAACCCGGGTACATTTATTGAAATGGGTGTTCAAGAAATTTTGGAAAACACATGATTTTGGCCATGTAAATACAATATGTACCGGGGTGGTAGTGGACCAAAAACGTGCATCCTATTTGCCTGGAAAATATGGTAAATAACTATCAACATTGTGCAGGGTTAAGGGTTAAGCAAGTTGTGATCCATGTGTGCTTAGGAAAGAATAAATACTCTACATAAATAGAAATGGGTACCGAATTTTATCTGGTGCCTGTTTACGAAAGATCAATTGATCAGAGGCAAATCCATGGGAAGGTCAGTTAGTTTCTTGAAGAGGGAGATCCAAGAGGAGGATAAAGAGGCAAAGCAAACAGAAGAATGTTATGGGTTTTGATGGATTCTCCAATGATGAGGTGAATGTGACATTTTTTTTTTTTTTTTTTTTTTTTTTTTTAGAAAGTTAATCTTTGTCAATTGAATTAGAGACAGTTAAATTGCATCTGGTATAGATTCTAAATGGAATGTTTTAAGAGGGGGGTGTTAGAGGCTAATGTCCTACATGGGTTTAAGTGTATTCAATTCATCACACTCCTGATAAGCCCCTTGCAGATACCTCTTTCAGTCCCACACCCACACCTAAATACTACTTTAAACATGCAAAAATACCCGCTGTATTTTGCATGTAAACAGCAGTTGCCTAAGTATAGTTAGAGAATAAGAGCTACACTCGTGGTGCCCCGTCTTCTCAGTACAGTACGCTGACATATGATGCTTTGAAACTACTGACAGTTTTGGCATCCACTGCCTTCATGCATAACTTGTTCCAACTGTCTACCACTCTGTTTTCAAAAGAGAACTTTCAAATTTCAAACGTCATGAATAATTTTTTTAATAGTTCACCACCCATGTACAGTATTTAAAATCGATTCTGAAGTTGGAGAGTGTAGCATACACTCCTTGCACAATGTCCTTTATCTGGTCCTCTGGAGACAGTCGAATTTGTTTTGAAGCTGAACTCTGTTACCATAAAGTGAGTGCTCTATTAGTACTTTATTAAACCTAAGAGACAGTAGATAAATGGTTCATTGTTGTGGGTTATTCCTTCCAAAGCTACAGTTATAAGGTGCATTTTGTGTACATTTTTTTTTTTATTTAAGCTCAGTTGTAGGTATTGTATATTGTTAGGTATCTACTGTAGAAATTTATATTGGAGATCATTATATTAAATTCATGGTAAGGTTTTTATAACTACACCTTTTAAACTTTTATTAGACAATTAATTGCTATTGTTTTCATTGCAGGATGAAAGTAGTGTTCAACAATTAATTGATGCCTGCATTCAGGATGATGATAAACTGTACCTGTGTGTCTCGTCGCCAACTATTAAAGATAAACCGGTTCAGATCCGACCATGGCGACTCTCCGATGCTGATTTCGTCCTCGATGCCTCGCTTCCGTTAGATCCTCGCAAGACAGTGTTTGTTGGAGGCGTACCCAGGCCTCTTAAAGCTGGTAGGTTGTGCTCGTACTTTATATAATAGGACATAACACCGAGTAAACCAAAAATGACTGATCCATGCACGCTCACTGGGAATGAACCAAACATTTTCTATTATCATTTACGTGGACATTTTATTATTGTAGGTGTACTTGTGTATTTATGGGAAAAGGGAGCTGGGTACCACACACTTGTGGGTGGGTGAGTGGGCATAGGTATGTCTATATGTGGACATGCTGATAGATGCGAGAACGAGGGTGGATGGGTGGGTGATCTACACTTGAGTAGGGTCTGACCTTCATCTATTTCATCCAACATTTTGTTGCACCTGGTGCCAGCACTGGTAATGACGATTTTTGACAACAGTTATAATTTTTTTTGGGGGGAGGGACCCATCGGTGGCTTCCAGGAGCTAGCCACATGGATAGCCTTACATTTATCATGTCCCAATGGACCTTTTGTAAGTCACTAAAGCTTTCTGCACACCAGAGACAGATTTTGGTCCACTCAAAGAGGTACAGGGAGCTTGGGATACCATATCAACTCACAAAATACCACCAGAAAGTTTGGTTGTCACCATTGCTGGTTGCACCCTCCCACGGCCAGACTGCTGACCCGGCAGCTTGTAGTCCAGTTGGCATCACCAGTTCAGCCATGTGCCTGGTGTGGACCTGGCCGCTGTTGCTCATCGTGTCCCCTCCACCTTCTGGATCCCAGTTTTTTCCAGATAAGTGTTGGCTATTTTTTGGACTGACCTGCAGGTTCCTGTGCTTGTATTTGTTCCAATTTTTTGTGTTAGCTTCATGTGACTCTTTATGTAAGCCTTGTTGTTGGAGCGAACCTTTGAGTCTTTAGTTCACCCCTAGCTGTGTATGTTTAGGTTTTGCCTGCCCTAGGTGCTTGCTGGCATTGCCCCTGGCCAGTCAGGGTTACTTTCGTAGATGATTTCGATGTCAGGCTGCGTGCAGCCACGTCCAACAGCCTGGTTGACCAGACAACCAACTGAGAGGCCTGGTTGGAAACCTGGCCGCAGGGCGGTTGATCCCCGGAAGCTACACAAGGTAGACAAGGTAAGGTAAGGTGCCCTGTGTGGCTGTACCAGCAGTGTATTTGGGTGTTGGTCAGGTGTCTTCTTGTATGTGCAGCTTTGTGCACTTAGGGTGATTTTCCCTATATGCTCCGTAAGTTCTGCCTTTGCGTCTCAGGGTTATCTTCCCTGGGGAGTTTGGGAATCACTCCCTTCTAGAGGACTTAATCGCTTCATGTAGTCTTCTCCCTTGAGGTACGTCAGGGGTTTTGAGCTTTCCGTCTTGCTCCGGGTTGGGGGGTGTTATTGACTGGGTGTGGGCACACTAGTTGGTGCAGCCTGCCTTGCTACAACACGACAGACGATGCTCCTCTCTGGCTGCCAGTTTGCTTGTTTTTCTTCAGGGGCTTTTAGTTTTAATTTCTTATATTTTTGTCTTTTGTAGACAGTGGAGATCTGCCTAGCCCCTTATTAGGCTAGCCTAGGTGGTGTTGGTGGTCCTCTGCTGTTGCTCCCAAGGGTTCACAGCTGCTACTGGTCATCAGTTTGCCTGCTACTAGACAGGGATTCTACCGGCTAAGCTGGCCTCAGTGCCTGGGCTTTCTGTAGGACTCATTTACCCTATGGGCCCTGGAAAACCCATGGGCTTGGTGGTACCATGAATACTTCTTCCGAGTCCACTCTCACCTTGCGCGAAGTTGAAGGTTGCTCATGACCCTTGCCTCAGGGGTGACGATCATCCGTACTGCCTCTATCATGCTGCCTGTTGGGTCGGTGACACCTACGACCCAGAGTCATGCTGGACTTGTTCACCGCTTGTGCTTCAATTTACTCATTCCCTGTCTGTTAATCTCAGGAATCAGGCAGCGGCTGCATTGCATGCTCGATTCTCCTCGCAACGTGCCAGGTTGGTTGCCCAATTGGAGGCCCCGGAGCTGCCCCGCTTGGGTTTTAGGGATCAGGTTTTGGGGGCATTGGTCGCTTCAACCTTGGTTCTATCCACACCTCTGCTTCCTTTCCAGAGGGCATCCTTTGCCCTGCTCCTCTTTCCCTGCTTCCGGCTCCTAAACTAATGAGGGTTTCAGAGTCGGGGTGGGGTTTAACTCTGGTGGTTTCAGGGGCTGACCCTTTCAATTCGGGCATGGAGATGGTTGAGCTTGATTGGGTCTGAGGCTTCTGGGTCGACCCAGCCCAGAAGACATGCCCTTCTCAGAAGCTTTTCTTCTGGACTCTGCCTTTTCTTCATGGGTGTGGGCATGGGAGAGAGCTCTGCCCCCGGACCTGTGTCGGGGGGTTTTCAGGGCTCGGGGGGCTCCTTTTGATTCTGTTTGGGTTCTTGTACCTTCTGGGCAGAGATTGTTGTTACAAGGGATATGGTTTTTGTACCCTCCTTCCCTGTATGAATTTGAGATGAGTGCAGCTCCCCCCCCCCTCCTTGGATTCTTTGGATTTGTCCTTCCGGAGGATTCCTTCCTCTCATATATTCCCTGAAGAGGTTCGGTAAGACCTTGACACGTACCTCCTGCGAGCCCTAATTTACGCCATTGTGATGGATCCGTCTTTGTTTGAGTTCAGTTCTTCTTTCTCGTATTTAGTGTGTTATTAGGTTCTGAAGTCTTCCTGACTGGCAGACTGCCCCATTTTTTCTCTTGGAACTTGGCGTGGCTTTTATCGCATTTGCATATTTGAATGGCGGGCGGTTTCTTCGGTGTTCCAGGTATTCTTGGGGGGGGGGGGGTCGAGTTCCTCAATGAGTGGCTCTTCGCCCCTGTGCTTCCTCATGATATGGTCTGGTGCAGTGTATGCTCAAGTTCCCACTCTTTTGTCCGCCTTAGTGGCTGAGGACCTTCAGATTTGCGGTCACTTTGCTTCAGTCTTCTGGAGCTGTCTTCGAATTGGCTTTCGGTGGAAGTGAAGTGTGAAGGGAAGGGAAGTGGAAGCCTTCGGCTGGGGGTTCTGGTTTTGACTGCTGCAACGTCGTCTGCCTTGCTGAAGCTGTTTGCGCCAATCCTCCGAGAGGCAATTTCCATGTTTTCTCCTTTCGCCTCATGTGTCGGCAGACCGTGCTGGCTCTGTCTTTGGATTCGGCTTGAGCTGTGGCCCCGCAGTCTTCTTCGCTATTCTGTTTGCTGTTGTTCCTGGAGGACATTGTTTCCCAGTTTCTGTCGGTGGATTCGGCCAGTTGCCGTCCTATTTCGGACTTGTTGGCGCTCCAAGGGGGGGGGGGGGGGAGTCGTTCCCGGTCCTCTCAGTTGGGTCGTGCCAGGGCTCAGGCTTTGGTTGATCGGGGCAGGCCTGTGGTGCCAGTTTCTGCATCGGTGAGTTCCCAGGGGCCCTCGTCGTCTGGTCGGCCTGGTGTTTGCTCTGTGCGGCAGTTGCTCCATCGACCGAGCCATTGAGTAGTCTTAATAATTTATATGACGTCAGCATGAATCACTGATTCCTCTGAGCTTCAGTAGTAGTCATGGAAAGTCGAAAATTCCAGTTTGGCAGCAGGATTCTACTTCTGGAAACTTTCTTATTAAGACTTCTCAATAGCTCGGTCGATAGAGCTTCGGCCTCACTCACGTGGGGGTCCATGGTTCGAATCTCTTAGAGCCCAGGTGAATGGAATATATACATACATACAAGAGTTCATATATTCTTGTAAAGCTACTAGCACGCATTGTGTTTTCGGCAGGTCCTTAATCTTAATTTTCCCTAGAATACGACCCGCCAAATCGTTTAACAACCAAGTACCCATTCACTGCTAGGTTAACAGAGACATGCAGTTAAGGATTGGTGCCTAGGATAAGAACCCAGGCCAAATTGCTCATGAAGCGCAAGGGTAAGTGTCTTACCACTGCACCACGAGGACTGCACCAAAATTATTGCAGTATTAAATTTAATTATCAAGTTGTGTCCAATTATGTGTTCATATATTTACACACTTCACAAACAACCGACATAATACTTAACATTGAGTAATAAACACTTACATTTCTAGCTTATTAATGAAATGTAGATGTAGTTGGCATGCCATTGACCCGATGTCTTGACCCGTCATGGGCAAGTCTGACTATTCATTGTCGAGTCAAGCCATTGACCCGATGGCTTGACCCGACATGGAAAGACCTATTCCTGACACTACGAAGATATTAGAAAAAATACCATTTTTAAATTAAAAATTACTTTAAGAATTCTAATAATTTACCTCTTTTTATTAACAGTTGAACTTGCAATGATAATGGATCGTTTATATGGTGGGGTCTGTTACGCTGGAATCGATACAGACCCTGAGTTAAAGTATCCTAAAGGTGCCGGCCGAGTTGCGTTCTCCAACCAGCAGAGTTATATAGCTGCCATCAGTGCCCGATTTGTACAGTTACAACATGGTGATATTGATAAAAGGGTTGGTATGATTTTGTTGTTGGAAGGAAATCAAAGATAGTTTTACAGTACTTCCATATTAGTTTTGCTCTGCTCAGTTTTTCTGGTATGAATATACTTATATATCAATATATTGTACAGTACATGTAATAAATTTTTTTTAACTTACACAATAATTGATTTACAGGTTGAGGTTAAGCCATATGTTCTAGATGACCAAATGTGCGATGAATGCCAGGGAGCACGCTGTGGAGGGAAGTTTGCCCCTTTCTTCTGTGCCAATGTTACTTGCCTGCAGTACTACTGTGAACACTGTTGGCAGACCATCCACTCGCGCCCAGGACGTGAATTCCACAAGCCGCTAGTCAAAGAGGGAGCCGATCGCCCCCGCACTGTACCATTCAGGTGGTGCTAGGCTCCAATGTTTTAGTTTCATGGTAGACCCAGTGACAATTTTCCCCCCCTCATGCTTCTCAGCATTCCAAGATTTTTTATGAAGTCCTCAACCTATTAGGCAATTGAAGCAAAAACAGCAACAGAAATACACTATCCCGCCTCTTATTTTTTTTTGTCTCAACATCACACCTCGTTTTATACTTGTAGATCTCCCTGGCGGTGGCACCGAGAACCCGGGTGGTGCCTCACAAACAAGTAATGAGAAGAAATTTGCCATATACTAAGGATTCCCCTCCCATGCCTGCCAACTGCTGTGGGTCAAACACAAAAGGATATCAAGAAAAACTTCAAGCAACTCATTCAAGCAGTCACCAAGCAAAGTCAGTACTCCCCCTTTAACCCCACTGGATGCCTCATACTTTATATATATCTCACATCCAACACTGTAAGCAAAAGCCATCAATTTACAGCATCAAAAATATAAAAAACAACTAAGCAAAAAGGAGCCATGTTGATTGTGGCTTGTTATAGGAGCTTCACGTGTTTCTGTATGTGGGTGAACCAAGGTGTGCCGTAGTGTAATTGTCAGCCCTGTGCTTGTCCCCCCCCCCAAAGGCTTAGCTCTTTCTTCCACATGACGGCCATTGGATAGCATTGCTCACTTGTGATAGGATGATGTTTGTACACCTCTTTTTCTAGATGGGCCAGATTTTTCTACTTCGCAGTTTTTTCAGCAACTGGCAGAAGCACTCGGGCTGATGATTCAGATGTAGTTTACCCATCGTAGTGATATCAGTTTCTGTGTTACAGAAATCTTTGTAGTGTCTTTCACAAGCTTACCCACAGAATGGCTTATTTGTCCAAACAGTGAGATGTACGTAAGATACAGCCAACTTGATCATTTTATCTAAAGTCAACACAAGTCATAGCCTTGTTCTACTATTGTGTACTAACAGAATTTTGCAAAATTTCTTGTGCGGCATAACCCCCCAAAGATTACTATGGTGCATATATAAGCATTATTACTGTAATGTAATAGGATGGTGTTTTATAATTTTCAATATGAGTCTAGTTTACGGCTTCTGCTTCAGTGCTATTTAAATATGTATATTAATAATTGATAGGAGATGTTTTCCTAGAGAGCAGAGTAGTCTTTCTGTGGGTCAGAAGGAAATAGCAATCTCCAGTGATTTGACGACAATTTCCATTGCCATCATTAACGTGAGCCCACCTTAGAGCAGTTGGGTTCACCACTATCCACGGACCCCCAAGAGAGTCATGGACTATAGTGCCAGGCTCTGAAGTGCATCAGTGCGCACAAGTCTTTATATAACATTCTGCAGTAGACGTATATATATATATATATATATATATATGATGGTAATGTTGAATTTCAGATTGTATTTCAATGGAACTCATTTTGTAACGATAAAATGGAAAATGGGATTTATTAAGAGAGAGCTGTATTCAGTATTGCTTTTCATATGGTAGACTTGCAAGTGAGCAGGAGACTAGTGTGTGGGGAAGGCTCACCATGACTTGCCTCTTCCAACATCAGAGATGAATAGATGAATAGTAATGATATTATGAGGGCAAATTGCTTTCTTGATACATAATTAGGATAGAAAGATCAGACTGGTTGAACGAGAACAATAATAGTCAGCAGTTTACATAAACCCTAAAGTTGGCATATGTATGTATGTATCCAAAATTATTTTGTATGTATGTAAAACTTATTATGACTTCACAAATATGATTAGAACTAGCGTTTCCCTATATATCTACATTTATGAGGTGGGAAGGGTGATGTGGCATTAACACAAGACAGAACACTAGAGGATATTAATAGGGTATTAAAAGTATCAACACAAGACAGAACACGAAACAATGGGTATTGAATAGAAGTGTTTGTAGAAAGCCTATTGGTCCATATTTCTTGATGCTTCTATATTAACAATATCTTTCAGGACCCTTTCCTCTGTTTTATGAGCTGTGGAAAAGAAGTTCCTGTAAAATAGTCTAATAGGGGGTATAGGTGTTGTGTTAGTTGTCTCTTCGGAGGTTGCATGGCTTTTCACTTTCCTTCTTATGATGTCTTCGATGAAACCATTGGAGAAGCCGTTATTGACTAGGACCTGCCTTACCCTACAGAGTTCTTCGTGAAGAACTCTGTAGGGTAAGGCAGGTCCTAGTCAATAACGGCTTCTCCAATGGTTTCATCGAAGACATCATAAGAAGGAAAGTGAAAAGCCATGCAACCTCTGAAGAGACAACTAACACAACACCTATACCCCCTATTAGACTATTTTACAGGAACTTCTTTTCCACAGCTCATAAAACAGAGGAAAGGGTCCTGAAAGATATTGTTAATAGAAACGTTATCCCTACAGACAAAAATCAGAGGATACAACTGACGATTTACTATAAAACCAGGAAAACGGCCAGCCTACTCATGAGAAACTCTCCAGACACAAAACAGAACGCTTTAAAAGAGACTAACGTCGTCTATGCCTTCAAATGCCCACTTGGGGACTGTAAGCTCCAAAAACCCAGTATATAGGCAAGACAACAACATCTCTTTCTAGGCGTTTAACGATGCATAAACAACAGGGCTCCATTAAGGAACATATAATCTCTTCCCATAACCAAACCATCGCCAGAGAAATCCTAGTAAACAACACAGAAATCATCGATAGATACAGCGATAGCAGGCGGCTTGACGTTTGCGATATATATATATGTATATATATATTTATATATATATATGTATATATATATATTGTATATTATATATATGTATATATATATGTTATATATATATATATATATATATATATATATATATGTATATATATATATATGTATATATATATATGTATATATATATGTATATATATATATGTATATATATATATGTATATATATATATGTATATATATATATATATATATATATATATATATATATATATATATATATATATATATATATATATATATATATATTATGTATATATATATATATATATATATATATATATATATATATATATATATATATATATATATATATATATAATATATTCATATACACACACACACACACACACACACACACACACACCCACACACACCAATATTTCTGTCCATCAATATAAAGCTTGAAGAATTAATTGATAATGAAAACGATAGGGTGTGGGACAGTCTCCTGCTGTCTAGGCCGTAGTCAATGGCAGGTTAAACGTTCTTTACGGCAAGCCCAGAGTTTATACTTGGCTTTAGGAATCCATAGGTACTGTACTTCTGGGGCTGTCAAGGACAAGGCAGTTGATAAACAAAACAAAATATCTCGGTTTACTAAAATACCTCTGTAAGCCATGTCCAGTGTCCCTCTTCTCTTTTTTCCCCCCCTGCAAGTAATTCTTTGCATCTTTCTTGCATTCTGCTTCTAATGTATTAACCTGCCTATGTGCCTGGATGCCCCAACCCATACCACAGTGTCAGCTGCTGGCTACTCTACACTCAACTCTCTCTTTGCTCTGTAATACATAATCCGATATAAACTTTATTAATTCAGTAATACACTGCTGTCGTCTCCAAAATTTACTAATCTTAGTACTCATTTCATGCCACAGTACAAAAACATTTGACACTCACCACTTCAGACTAAAGTATTCTGTTCTCTAGTGCCATTATACACATACCTTGAAAATCGTGCTATCCTCTAAATTATAACGATGCCATAACGCAGCCTACAAAACCCAAATCGTGTCACACAATAGCCTAACACACAAACTATATCCTAAAGCTTCTTTTCTTGTAATATTTTGTATCTGGCTTCTGCTCATACTGTAAACAATGTCCATTGTTTGGATTAATGTGATTTTCAGCGTAAACAATCAACCCAACATAACACTACTACAACAAAATATATAACATAATAATAACACTAACAAAAACTTCAAAAATGAATGCTATATTACTGTGCATGAATAAAACACAACTAGAGAGACTAAATAATAACGAGTCTAATGGTCGAAAAATAGTTCAAATATTCACACAGAGTTAGTCAGTGTACTTACTTTTATATTTTGTCTTCTCTTGCCTGATAGAGTAGCCATCAGCACTGTACGTGTGTGATATGCAGATTTTTGCACTAGGATAATTTTGATCCATATAGAATTTGTATTTTTGCGTGTTTGAATTTTGATACTGTCCTTGTTAGTAAGTTTTATCATCTAGCATATGCGGGTGTTTTTGTGACAAGTTAACAGTTCTAGTTTTTTTGTCTTTTGCTGTTACTAGTACTGTGTAAGAAAAGTCCTGCAACTTTTGTAGGGATTAAAAAAACTTTGTAGCTAAATAGTTGAGACTGTAATGAGGTCTATATTATGGTTTCACATATAGCTTGCTTGCGAAGTTTAACACAGGAGGAGGATATAGAATGCCATGTACTCAGCAGAAGAATCCTTAAATGTGAAGTGGTTGAAACTTTGCCAGTCATCAGATTGGCGAGCCAGTAACTTCGTCTTGTTTTTCAATTCAAGGCACAGTTAGCCTTATCTCGTGAGGGGGATCACAGTAACAAAAAATTCTGCATGTTATACATCTATAGCATGATCGTTTTACTCCTGTCGAATTAACTGGCTTGTCATATTGACTTGATCTCCTTTTTTATGAAAAACCAAAGAAGCACACAACATTGGCTAAGTGTGGAGACAACATATCCTGACCCAGATTTTATCATGGTGAGATTCTAGGGGCATTCAGTCACCTCCCCGAGGACCTTGTCTGCATTATGGCGGAATTTTATATTTTGCGTTCGCCTCGTTTCTTAGAGGCTGGGTAACACTGTACATAGACTCATCCCCCATTTCATATCCATTTGAATACATGATTGCATTGCGTCATTAGTGAGTGTAGATTTCCATGTATTTTTACAGAGAAATCCTAGTAAACAACACAGAAATCATCGATAGATACAGCGATAGCAGGCGGCTTGACGTTTGCGAGGCACTGCACATCAAGAAGTCAACACCAGCAATCAACAGCCAATTATTGCACAACTATATTCTACCCACCTCAAGACTCCGCTCCAATATAGAAGCATCAAGAAATATGGACCAATAGGCTTTCTACAAACACTTCTATTCAATACCCATTGTTTCGTGTTCTGTCTTGTGTTGATACTTTTAATACCCTATTAATATCCTCTAGTGTTCTGTCTTGTGTTAATGCCACATCACCCTTCCCACCTCACTCAAATGTAGATATAAAATCAGGGAAACGCTAGTTCTAATCAGTTGTGTATTTGTGAAGTCTTTGAAAATGTAATAAGTTTTACGAAACGCGCCCGCGTCGCGTCAGACTAAGAAATAAAAATGAATTTTGGAGAAGTGATTTTTGATTTACCTCCAACAGTGAAGCGTAATGTACGAAAGATTGAGAAAATTCGTGTTAGAATTATTAATCTTACTTTTTCGGTCATATTTAATATATATATATATATATATGTATATATATATATATGTATATATATATATATATATATATATATATGTATATATATATATGTATATATATATATGTATATATATATATATATATATATATATATATATATATGTATATATATATATGTATATATATATATGTATATATATATATATATATATATATATATATGTATATATATATATATATATATATGTATATATATATATATATATATATATATATATATATATATATATATATATATATATATATATATATATATATATATATATATATATATATATATATATATATATATATATATATATATATATATATATATATATATATATATATATATAATATATAC